TTCCCTTTTTTTGTTTGTGCTAGTTGCTTCGCAAATTTGAAAAAAAATCGGCTATATTTGCATTTTATTTTTCCTAAAAAACTGTTTTTGTTATTGTTTATGCCCGTGTGAAAGATCAAAGACATTGAAACAAGAACTCTGTGTTCATCGTTCTTCTCATTTGTTCGTGCTAGTTGCTTCACACGTTTTGAGCCGGATAATTACCGAAATCATCGTACTAGTTGATGTTTGTCTTTCTGTGTGAAAAATGTCTGCTGCTAATCAATATAGTATGATTCAATATGGTATTGCTCCGTTCAACAGAAAATCTGATTTTAGCATTTGGAAACAAAAAATAAAATGCATTTTAATTCAACAGAAATCTTTTAGGGCTGTTGGTCAGACTTATTTAACTTCTGACACTGAAAATAAGCGGGCGGAAATGAATGAAAATGCTTATTCCATAATTTATTTGAACTTATCTGACTCTGTGATTAAAAAAGTTAGAATTTTGGAATCTGCTAAAACCCTTTGCGATAAACTTGAAGAACTCTATACTGAAACCTCTTTGCCCAGTAAAATATTTTTGCTTGAAATTTTTTTTCTCTCGAAACCCCAAACCGACATATCGGATTGGGCACGAGAGGCGAAGCGATCGGTCGCTTCACCATTAAAGAGCATTAATGCGCCTGCAAAGTCTCGGCTGGCAAGCACTTGGGCCCGCTGACCGACACGTGACAGGATTTTTCGCCCGCGGTTGGATCTCCAACTTTTGGGCGAATTCGCTACTGCTCAAACTTCGCCTACAGATCAGACATTGAGGAGAACCTAAATGTTTTCACAAAACTTATTTCAGATATTAAGTTAACTGGTGATAAACATACAGATGAGTATACTCATATTGCCCTTCTAAATGTTATTCCTGACTCATATAGTGATGTGAAATCTGCTATTAAATATGATAGAGATGAGGTTACCCTTGACATTGTGGTCAATGGTCTTAAGAGTAAAGAATTAGATTTAAAATATTCTGGGGGAAATAATAATTCTCGTGAGGTTATGCATGTGAGAGGTAGGTCTCAGAATAGGTCTAATAACCAAAAGAATCCTAGTAATAGGGAATCAAGTAAGAAAATATTCGAAAATGAAAGGGGTAGATCTAAGTTTAGGTCTAAAGTTATAAGATGCTATAACTGTCATGAAACCGGTCACTTTATTAGAGATTGTTCTAAGCCTAGGGAAAATCAACAAAATAATCATACTAATATGGCTGTCTGTGAGGGCGAAATAGGTAAAATTTTCATGATTAATAATCTGTGTGATTATGCATATTTGAACCCTGTGTTATCTGATTCTGTGTAAATTAGATTGGTTAGTAGACTCTGGTTGTACTTTTCATATGACTCTTTTTAAAAACATGTTTTCAAACTACAAGAAAATAGAGAATGGCTTTGTGTTAATGACAAATGAAAAGAAATGCAATGTTTTAGGAACTGGTGATGTATGCTTTAGGTTTTCTTCTGGTTCTGTGTTTACTTTGAAGGATGTTAGGCATGTTCCTGATTTACGTTATAACTTGATTTCTTGTGCATCTCTAAAAAATGATGATTTGGAGGGAAAATTGGGTAAAGGGGTTATAAAAATTTTAAAAGGGTCTCTTGTTATTTTTACTGCTGAAAAAGAAAATAACTTGTATGTTTGTCATGCTGAACCTGTGCTTGATTCTGTTAACTCTGTGATAGGTGATAAATCTGTTTTCTGATATAATAGATTAGGTCACATCAGAAATAGAGGATTAGAAATTTTGCATGAAGGTAGTCACTTTGGTAGTGACAAAGGATCCTCAACAGAGAGGATGGAAAATAATTTGAGGATTTTCGGGAGTGCTGGCTATGTGCATCAAAGGATTGATAAGTTAGAACCTAGATCTAAGAAATGTGTTTTCTTAGGATACCATGAAGGGGTAAAAGGTTATAGGCTTTGAAATAAGAGTGAACTGGGGTTTAAGGTAGTGATAAGTAGAGATGTTATTTTTAATGAAAATGAATTTTCTTGTTTACCTTTACCTGTCCCTATTTCTGAAAATGATGCTCCAAATGAGGTGGAGCAAATGCCTATTATTAATCAACCTGAATCACATCCTGAAGATATAATTATTGAAAATCAAGATGAGATTATTCCTAATGAGGTGGAGCATGATATGCAGGAAATAGATAACATGCATGATTTGAATGATTATCAACTCACTAGGGATAGAAATAAAAGAACTATTAGGAAACCTGAGAGATATAGAGATTGCAATTTGATAGATTGTAATATGTATGAGTTTGCCTTTAATGTGTTTGAATCCCTTGAGTGCAATGAACCTAAGACTTATAGAGTTCGGTCCTTTGTGGACTTGGCATTGGATTTTGATTTTGGGTAATCTTTCCTTTGCTTTGTGTGTTGCCTTTGTGGCCTATTAACTTGCTTTGTGCTTGTTAGTAGCTTTGTGATTTTTTCCCTTTAAACTCGATGACCGTTTGGTATAGTTCGGTCCTTTGTGGACTTGGTATGCTTGGTGATCTTACCTCGATGTTTGTGATCTGAGTTTACTTTGTGTATTCTCTTCCATTACGTGTATCTTCTTTGTGATCATACAGGTAATGGTTTGACGATGATGAGTCCTGCAGTTCCGTGTTTTTTCTCTGTGCACTACCTTGGGCCAAAGGTGGAGATTGTTGCTATTTTTGTTGGCCCAATTTCTAGCCCGTTACCAAAAGGCCCAGCTCCCCACTACTTGTGCCCTAGCCCCCTCTATTCCTCTATCCTACCCGATGGTACTCTGTAAGTCTTTCGCCTCTTCCCCATCCCTGTGTCCTACGCCGCTGCCGCTGCGAGTCCCATCTCCCATCCTTGTAGGTTGGCTCCTACCAGTCGATTCCCTTGCCTCTCTCCCGTGTCGGCTGCCCCCTTCCCTATATAAGGGTAATGGGTTGGTAGTAGCTCGGGGTGAGAAAATGAAGGAAGAGGAGCGACGGAGTGAAGAAGAACAAGAGCTTTGTGCTCTCTGGAGATCTGAGTGATCCCCCCCCCCCTTTGTGTGATCCCTCCTGTGAGCTTTGTGCTCTCACCCCTTTGTGCAATCCCTCTTGTGAGCTTTGTGCTCTCACCCCCTTTGTGTGAATCCCCTTTCCTCTTTGTGAGTGATTTAAGGCGAAGATCAGTGGGCTCCCCTTTGTGTTCTTGGTGGTGCACAGTTGAAGAAGAAGGACTGTTTGATCAAGCTTCTGAGCCAAACAGCGACGACGACGATCCACAACAACCAACTTTCATGAGCATATAGCATTCTACTTGTCAACAAGTGAGAAAGCAGCTAAGGCTAGGTCTAGGAGTGTTACCCTAAATCAAATAAGCCAGGTCCCAACCTAGACCCAAACAATTTATGAACCTCATGTATAGGATACGGGTTAAATGCCTATTTTGAGTGAATTTAACCCAGACCTAAGCATACCCAATTGAGTTGACTATACAATAAACTGTAGTTGTCATCTAACCAATAGTAGATATCCATGTGTGAAATATATAAGGAGAGAAAAAATGAATCCTAAACAAATCTATTTGTTTAAGAGCACATCAAGTATACCTTTCAAAATTTTATGTGTTTAAGATATCCTAATGTGATTGTCGTTATAGAATCTATTTCAACTGCAATGCAGTTATTTTATTTGAATCGTGCGTATTATTTCTCATCTCTTTCGATCTGATCTTAAAAGCTTTATTAGGGTTTACTCTTGCAGGTTTATGTTAGGTCTAGCTAAGTCAAGTTATTTGGATCAGCTTAGTACAGGTTTCTTTTTTTTTCTTTTCTTTATTAGGGTTTACACTTGCAGGTTTATGTTAAGTCCAGCTAAGTCAAAGTTAATTTGGGTACATTTGCTAGTCTCAAAGTGATAAAACTCAAAACAAATCTTTATGTCTCAAAAATTTCAAGCTACTAACGTCTACTTAGAACATGATGAAGAGGCTAAATATACCTGAACAATGAGCATCCACTAGAGCTACACTCAAAGATCCACCATATGGTAATAGGAACTCCACTGACCAAAATTGACTCTAATCTTTTAAAAAGAGAATTGGGTCAATTTTTTGAGCTGGACAACATTTAGGGTCTGGATATGCATACGAATCAGCTGAGCTTTACCCTTTACTTAACCTGGGACACTCCTTAAGCTCAACATCTTCTCCAAAATTGACTCTACTGCTTTTAAAAATGGAGTTGAGTCAAAAAATTGAGCTTCACACCATTTAGGTCTGGATATGCATATGTATCATCTAAACATTACTTAACCCGGCACACTCCTTATGCTCAAGCCATGCTCCATAGATTGCAGGTTTGAACTGGGTAGTTCTTAACTTTTAACATGTTTGACATTTGCCCACTCATAGGTGGACACTGTGGCATATTTACCTAGTCATTGGCAACCACCCTGTCACACAGTGCACCATGACCAAACCTGCAAAAAAAATTTAGTCGCATAACTCACTCAGTCCTCAACATGCTTGCTCAACGTCTTATTAATTCCACAAGAACTCTACCATGAAACAAACACTAGAAGTATTGCTTGATAGTTAGTCACTTCATAATATAGAGGTGTTGTAATGGTTTTACTACTTCGAAATGAAATCCCAAGTAAAGCTTGTGAAACCTGGACACATCATCATTTGCATTCTTCTACTTTATCAATTTTACTAAAATACCATAAAAATTTTAAGCGACAAATAGCACCAGATAGCTTTCTTCCACATTAATCAAATCCTAGTAACCCATTTCAACATTTTGCTTCAATCAAACCCTCGAACAACAAAATGCTCTAAATTTCCTCCTTTTCTCCCGAAACCCATGAACCCTAATTCTTATACCAGACTTCTAAGAAACAACACAAGACTAGAATTTTACGAATACTCAATTCATAAACTAAACCAGTAATACCACAAACAACAACTTTAGAACAACTAAAAAAATGGGGAAAAAAAAGTACCTGATCCGGATCGTCCCAATCAAACATCATTTGAGCAGCACCAAATCAAAGCTCGCCCCCGATCCAATCCAAACATCTAAAAAAAAATCCAGCACAGAATAAACCCCAGACGAAAAAAAAACCCTAGAAAATATTCCGACCTCAGAGATACCCTCAAAAGCCCTTCTCTTCTTTCTTTTGTTCTGGACGCGGTTCGAGATTTGGTGGTGGAGAGGGTGCCACGTGGCGCGCAGCATCTGAGTTCGTGGCTGAGAGCGAGCGGATCAAACCTCGAGACCCGATTGGATGAAAGACTTGGTGGGTGCGAAAGCGGGTGTCGGTGTGGGCCGCGAGTTTTGCCACGTAGGATGGGAGGTGGTGGCTTGAATTGAGTGCGCTGTCGCTGTTTGTTATATCTCTTTGCGCCGAACCTTTTGAGGGGGGTCTGTGTGTGTGTGCTGGGGCTATTTTTTTTGTTTTTGGGTTGAGTCTGGTAGACTTCTTACTACAAAAAATTTATCCAAATGAGAGAAATGATTTAGGCTCTATTTGGGAATGCTGATTTGAGCTTGGATTTAAAATTCTAGGCATTTCACATCCAAATATTATGTTTGGGCTCAACTTTGGACCACGATTTTAAATCAAGTCGTTTTATAGGGTGAATTTGAAAAGCCAAAACCGTGGATTTGAAATTTCACCACAGGAGTTGGTATTTGTCAAATCCTGATTTCAGAACATTATTTTATCAAAAATTTCTAATTTTTTGATGATTTCATTGTGGATATATATTAGGGTTTTGGCGATTTTGATGGATTCTTAACTAATTCGAGCAAGGGTGTTCTTCTCTCATCTCAAAGGTATAACTACTTTGATGGATTCCTTTTCTTTTTTTTTTCGCTTTAGTCTGTTTTTGGTTTATTTTTCTTACTTTGCTAGCCAAACCCTTTTTTTTTACTGTGGTAGCCAAATGATCCTATGTAATAAGAGAGTGTTGTTCTCTAATTCATTTGTGTTGTTCTTCATGTTGGATAGCAGGTTCCTAATATGTTTCCTAATTTGTTTTGGTAACAGGTTATTGGGATTTCTAATCTGTTTTGGTAACAGAATTCCAAATCTGTTTTGGTAACAGGTTATTAGAATGAAGAGAGAATAGAGCAGCGAATTAGGAATATTTGCAGCACAGAAAAAATGTATTTTCTGAGCTATTGGTTATAGTTTTATTTGGAGAGAATTAGAGATTTGTTGGTGAGATTAATTGGTGAGTTCGAGTGATTTGTAATCTCAGTTTGTACTCTTCTTATCTATTAGTGAACACCTCATCCCCTTCTTGCCCCGTGGGCATAGACAACTTGTCGAACCACGTTAAAATTGGTTGTTTGTGTTCGTGCCGTTATTTTGATTGTGTTTGGCCTTCTCTTGGCGTTTGTTTGATTTGGTCTCTCGAAGCACATCGCTTTGGTTTTGGCTTCCGCCGCGCACAACACTTCACTTATTATTGTAGTAGGAAGTAATTTATTAATTTCTATATATTTTTTACTTGGGAAAAAATCTGCTATAAAACCAAATTGTTTGCGAAGATGATTGTATTCTCTATTGAGGCCATAAATTGTCAATTCAAAATTGACATTGGGAATTTCAGATTGTTCTCTCTGTTCAATCCTCGAATAGGTATTAGAGTTTTGCCTGTCTGAGTTTTTGTTTTCTCTTTCTTTTTTTTATTGTGACTTGATTTATTTTTTGGCAATGATGTGTGGATTCGTCAAGCATGCCAAGTTCGAAGATTTTGTTGATCCTTCCGATGAAACTGACTGAGAGCTGTCCAAGAAGTCACTCATTTGCTAGTGCAGTGTCCCCGGCGGTCTTATTAATTTGCCAAGAAAATAGTGATAATTAGTTATGGAATTGTGTCTTTGATTCTTTGTAGAACTTCATGAGAATTAGATAGGGTTAGAGATCTATCATGATTAATTGTGTCTTTGATTCTTTGTAGAACTTCATGAGAATTAGATAGGGTTAGAGATCTATCATGATTAGGAGTTTGGTTAGATAGGGTTAGAGATCTATCATGATTAGGAGTTTGGGTTCCATCATGATTAGGAGTTTGAATCCTATACTAATTAGGAAGTTAGTCTAGAGATAGAGTTTTGGTTTCCCTATATATATTCTTCTATTGTTGAAAGAAAAACTAAGAAGAAGAGAAGAGAAGAAGAAGAAGTGTAGAGAGAAAGAGAGAGGGTTTGACAGTCTTTGTCTGTGCAAAAGATTATAATTTGGAGGTGATAGTGGATTGATTTTGAACCCGTGGTTTTTCCTTGTTGAGGGTTTTTCACATTAAATCTTGTGTGATTTTATTTGCTGTGTTTGTTGGTTTTTCGAGGTTTTTGTGAGATCTAAAAAATCCCTATAAGTGGTATCAGAGCGGGATTCGACGGTTCGTAGAGGTTTGATCGGTGCGCGATTCGTGAATGTGTCAGCGGTCGAAGCGCGGTAATCGACATCGGGGGAAAAAAGGTATTGTATCGACGACACTGTAGCGGGAATACGTAGCGGTACTGTTTACGCAGATCCGACGGTAAGGTTGATTTGTCTTTTGATCGAGGATTTGGAGGCGTATTTTGGAAATCTAGGAGTCACTCCTAGGATTTTTTGATGTGTTGAGTTCGTTTTTGACGTCGGTTTTATCAAATTCAATCTCTATAGTGACTTATTTAAATTTTGATTGTGGTTAGAGAATGATGACTTCTTCGGGTCCAAAGTTCGATATTCTGCTAATCAACATGAAGACAGATTTGATGGCAGATAGGGCAAACGAGTATGCGACATATGAGACTGGCATAGAGAATCAAATGTGATTCTAGCAGTAGAATTGTTCGTATATAGTTATTCAAAGCCACCGCGGGAGCAATAGTTGGTTGGTGTGTAGACTCGAGGATGATAGTACCAGATTAGGTGGAGCTTGTAAGTTGGCACGACCGAGTGACACACAGGATAATGGAGATGGTGGCATTGGACTTGAAAACGGTGAGTGCTCATATTCAGTCCAAGCCAAGTAATGGAGGAGATAGAGGCATCTGGCTCGTAGTGTGGAGTAAGAGAGGTGCACCGATATGATTCGAGAAGAGTGATGCAGGTGGAGCACAAGGACAACAAGTAGGGGGAGGCTATTGTCAGGCTCAAGTTAGGAGGACAAGTATGCTTGATTTGCTTTTATTGTTAGAGGTGGCAAAGATCTCTTGGTGCACACAAGAGAGGTGGAGGCGTCACGGTGAAGCAGGTGATAGTGAGGGTCATGAGACAACCAGTTGGAGTGCAGGTATTCTGATTAGGAGTGTGACTACTTCGATTTGAAGTGCAAAAGAAATAAAAGACTCTAGCGGAGAGGCAAAGTTTCAAAACGACGATGATATATCTTCAAGGGAGTTTAGGAATCAAATCCAAGGTGAAGATTATTGGGATTGTGTCTCTGATTCTTTGTAGAACTTCATGAGAATTAGATAGGGTTAGAGATCTATCATGATTAGCAGTTTGGGTTCCATCATGATTAGGAGTTTGAATCCTATTCTAATTAGGAAGTTAGGCTAGAGATAGGGTTTTGGTTTCTCTATATATATTCTTCTATTGTTGAAGGAAAAACTAAGAAGAAGAGAAGAGAAGAAGAAGAAGTGTAGAGAGAAAGAGAGAGAGGGTTTGACAGTCTTTGTCTGTGCAAAAAGATTATAATTTGGAGGTGATAGTGGATTGATTTTGAACCCGTGGTTTTTCCCTATTGAGGGTTTTTCACATTAAATCTTGTGTGATTTTATTTGCTGTGTTTGTTGGCTTTTCGAGGTTTTTACGAGATCTAAAAAATCCCTATAAGTGGTATCAGAGCGGGATTCGACGGTTCGTAGAGGTTTGATTGGTGCGAGATTCGTGAAGGCGTCAGCGGTCGAAGCACGGTGATCGACATCGGGGAAAAAAGGGTATTGTAGCGATGACACTGTAGCGGGAATACATAGCGGTACTGTTTACGCAGATCCGACAGTTAAGGTTGATTTGTCTTTTGATCGAGGATTTGGAGGCGTATTTTGGTAATCCAGGAGTTCTTCCTAGGGTTTTTTGACGTGTTGAGTTCGTTTTTACGTCGGTTTTATCAAATTCAATCTCTACAGTGGCTGATTTAAATTTTGATTGTGGTTAGAGAATGATGACTTCTTTGGGTCCAAAGTTCGATATTCCGCTATTCAATGGGAAGACAGATTTGATGGCAGATGGGGCAAACGAGTATGCGACATATGAGACTGACATAGAGAATCAGATGTGATTCTAGCAGTAGAGTTGTTCGTATATAGTTATTCAAAGCCATCGCGGGAGCAATAGTTGGTTGGTGTGTAGACTCGAGGAGGATAGTGCCAGATTAGGTGGAGCTTGTAAGCTGGCACGACCGAGTGACACACAAGATAATGGAGATGGTGGCATTGGACTTGAAAACGGTGAGCGCTCATATTCAGTCCAAGCCAAGTAATGGAGGAGATAAAGGCATCCGGCTCTTAGTGTGGAGTAGGAGAGGTTCACCAATATGATTCGAGATGAGCGATGCAGGTGGAGCACAAGGACAACAAGTAGGGGGAGGCTATTGTCAGGCTCAAGTTGGGAGGACAAGTATGCTTTATTTGCTTTTATTGTCAGAGGTGGTAAAGATCTCTTAGTGCACACAAGAGAGTTGGAGGCGTCACGGTGAGCAGATGATAGTGAGGGTCATGAGACAACCAGTTAGAGTGCAGGTGTTCTGATTAATTAGGAGTGTGACTGCTTCGATTTGAAGTGCGAAAGAAATAGAAGACTCTAGCGGGAGAAGCAAAGTTTTACGACGATGATGATATATCTTCAAGGGAGTTTGGGAATCAAATCCAAGGTGAAGATTATTAGGATTGTGTCTTTGATTCTTTGTAGAACTTCATGAGAATTAGATAGGGTTAGAGATCTATTATGATTAGGAGTTTGAGTTCCATCATGATTAGGAGTTTGAATCCTATTCTAATTAGGAAGTTAGGCTAGAGACATCATGATTAGGAGTTTGAATCCTATTCTAATTAGGAAGTTAGGCTAGAGATAGAGTTTTGGTTTTCCTATATATATTCTTCTAATTAGGAAGTTAGGCTAGAGATAGAGTTTTGGTTTTCCTATATATATTCTTCTATTGT